CATTTTCGGGCACAGGTCCGAAAGAGCTTTTTTCTTTTTTTGAACTAGAGAACCACCCGCCGAAAATTTTTTTTCGGACACTGTATAAATTAGCCAGAATGTTTGTGGGTGTATAACAGTCAACCATAATTTTTTGCTACCTATTTTAATCCACATTCAGTTGCTAATTTTTTGCTCTTTATTAGTCTACATTCCATGTTTCACTGACGATTTAAATTTTTTTATTCTTTATATTTTTCTGTGAAACACATTTTTTTCTACTGTGCATTTATTATTTTTTCTACGACCCTAACAGAAAGTAAGTTTTTTCACCCTAACTTCAGACAGGAAAGTAGCCAATTACCCAGGGAGGTAAAATTTTACAAGTCGACAAGTTTCAAGCAGTAACTTCCACCATGTGGGAGGAAAAGATAAACTTTCCTCCCTTGTAATACAAATAACTATTATTCTGCTTTTATTATTTTTAATGAAAAAGAATACTTGACATTGACTTGACAAAAATAATTGTCAGATTTCAAACACACAGAAGCTATTAAACTTGACTATAAGGGTTGCTTTAATTTTTTTGTATATAGGCTGTTAAAAAAAACATTGAAAAATTTCTGAAGAGGCTTTCCTAGGTCAAAATAAGAAAAAAAGTTTCTATGCACATATGTCTGAAAATGCTTCCTGGGGGAGCTAGAGCCTCCTGAAAATGGCGTAGAAAAGGCTTTTTTTCAATTTTTTCACAAAGCGGTGGACATAAAATTACAAAATATTGCATCTGTAGTAATTTTTTGGCGCTAAATCCATAAAAAATTGTGTATTTTATTTAGGGGGGCAGAGGTACTGGGGTCAATCTAGTTAAGGCGTAAAATTTTGCTTTGGAAGATGTTTTTTGAAATTGTTTTAGCAATTTTCTTCAAAAAATGTGTTCGGTATTATTTTTGTAAAAAATAACATAATTTCAAAAAGCAAGTTATCGCTCTAAGGGCCATTTTCATAATCGAATTAAAGGGACTTTAAGATTAATAATGTTGGTTTAGAATGTCAAATTTTTGTCAACAAGTCCATAGTAATCAGCACATTCTAAACTCAACATTAACTTTAAAGTTTCTTTAATTTGATTATGAAACTGGCCCTAACTCCCATAGGAAGCATTTTCGGGCATAGGTTCGGAAGAACTTTTTTCTTTTTTTGAACTAGAGAACCACCCGCCGAAATTTTTTTTTCGGACACTATAAATAAGTCAGAATGTTTGGGGCTGCATAATATAACCATAATTTTTTGCTACTTATTTTAATATTCAATTGCTAATTGCATACAATTGCTAATTTTTTGCTCTTTATTAGTTTATATTCCATGTTTCACTGACGATTTTAATTATTTATTTTTAAATAAAGGCGAATTTCGACTGTTCTGGGATTGAAAATTAAACACAACATTACACATTTTCTTAATTATTACTCGTATTATTGTGACTAAACTGTTTTTTAATCAGACTCTGTGAAAATGCAATTTACTGCAAAGAATTTTGTTGGAAATTAAAAAAAAAACATATTTAGAAATAATCTTTTTGAAGTTCTTTCCGCAATAGGCTGGAGTTTTTAAAATTCATAAAATCGTTAAAATTGTCAAAAATAAACAAATAAGGATTGTAATTTTGTCAATTTATTAGTTGTCGTCCAGATTCGAATATTTTTTCCAATTTCCACATTTTTGTGGTATCAATTAAAAAAAAATTCAATCTATCACTGACAAACTATAACACTTTGATTATTTTTTAATTAAATGCGACTTAAAATTCTTGAAAACCCGAATGATGTTTTTGGTGGTGTTTAATTTGGCTAGGAAACAACCGTTGCATTTCGTCTGTAGTGTTGATAATAATTAATGGGTGTTTCCTTATATGCCTGGAGTGCGTATTGAGTAGATGGAAGCAGTTGGGGCCAGTTGGACACCGTTGGTTGTCGACCTGGCCCAGACACCCGCACGACCGGTCCCCAGGTCATCCGCCATCACTACCACCATCAGCGACTTGATGAATGGATGCGCCAAACAGCTCGGTAATGAATTAATGCAAAGCCGTATAATGACGATTAAAACGCGACGGCGAGCCTAGGATTCCTTCCAACTTACGACAAAGTCGAAAAAAACACCAGCGCCCGAGGAAAAATACCGTAACTCTCTCGCCGAGACGAGGAATTATGCTACGTTTAAGTCGCATTGTTGATATCAAAAACTCCCGTTAGATAATCCCATGGATGTTACACTACAATTAAACTTATATGGATTTGCGCATAAAGAATCGATTCATTTCCACGATTTTATAGATTCGTATAAATCTCAGCCGACGTTTGATAATGAAAAGTCTGTTTAATGGTTTTAGTAGTCAGTGGTACGGAGGCATGCTGCGCAACTCTTCAATGAAGAATTCGCCAACTGAAGAGCATTGTCTTAAATTATGTGGGGCTTTGAAAGTTGCTACATCGAAATCTCATTACCGGACCACTTCGACGATAAAACTCATCGCAAAATTTTTACTTGAGTGCAAAACTCGATTGTGAGCTCGTTATGTAAGCTCAGAACTTGTTTATAGAGGAGGGACACTTCCCAATATCCATAACCGAGCAATTTGTAGTGACTTCTGCAGCAAAAAATCTCCATGGTCAATGACTCAGACTCTAATTTATCATTATTATTGATCGGAAACAGTGGCGCAGCGAGGGGGAGGTTTGAGGGTTATCCCTTAAAATTATATTTTAAAAACAACCAAATTAAATATTCGAATTTTGTATACAATTATTTTTATGTTGTCATAATTTTAGAAATTTTTATTTATTTTTACTTATTGTCTTTTTTCTATTTGATAAAAAATTAAATTTGCTTTCCACCGGTACCAAACAGGTCTAGCGTCAAGTTATTAGCAATAAACCGCTTTGGGTCCGAAAATCGCTCAAAATTTCGACAAAAATCTAAAAAATTAAAAATTTGAAAAAAAATTGAACCATTTGCACTCTTGGGGATTCAAGATACTTAGAGAAATACAAAAAACGTGGCAAAATGCAAGAGATAAATTTTTGAAAAATTTTGTGTCCATGAATACATACAGGGTGCGTCAGAACTCGCACCCCAGAGGAAAATGCAATATAAGGTAAGATACCAGGAACATGGAAAAAATGTTACTAAATAATTGTAAAAAAACATATACAAGATCATGAGTATCCTTAAATAGATATAAAAAAATGTCAAATGTCAAAAAGTAAGTGTAAAATTTTTTTGACAGATAGAATTTTTAAACATTTTTTTTCATGTTCCTGGTATCTTACCTTACTTGAAAATTTTCTCTGGGACGGCGCACCCTGTATATTAAATTAAAACATTGAGACTGTCGGCGGCGGTGGTGGCTTAGCGGCATAAGGTCTCGCGTTCCAGCAGGTAGGTTCGAGTTCGATCCCCGGTAAATAAATAAATACTAACTTAAATAAAAATGGCGGGCGCATAAGAGCGCGAACTTTAAAACATATGCACATGTTCTAATAAGTATAATAAGAGTGAGAGAGAGAGCGCATACGAGCAAATAAGAACGCAAATCATAATCAGAAAGAGAAAGAGCATAAGAACAAATAAGTGAACAAAGCATAAGTAAGGGATGGCTCATAAAAAAAGCATAAGACCTTTTTTCTAATTTGCGTTTGAAAAAAGCTTATTTCGATACCAAAACTGATGCTTTAATGAGCCATTTCAACACCAATTCGGGTGCTGAAATAGACTAGTACAGTAGTACAATTTACTTTCTAGAGGTTGGTAGTGGTGATTTCCAGCAGCGTTTTCAGTGAATGAAATATTTGTAGTACTCTTGTTAATTTAACAAAATTTTGAAAAATACTCAAGACTTGACACTTTGAAAATCGAATTTTTTAAACTTTGTGACATTTATTACCAACCACCACCTTATTAGCACTAAACATTCTAAATTTTCAAAAAATCGATTTTTATGTTAAAAAAGTACGTAAAATGCGCAAAATAGAAAAAATAACATAAAAACTTGTTTCATACGTCATTTGTGGGAACTCGTTCTTTATAAAACTCGCGCTTTGCTGTTCGTTTTATAAATCTTATGCTACGTTTTTACTATCACTGACTATTCATACTGTCCATTTTGAAATGACGTTTAAATGAGTGCCTGAAGTTTTTCACATAAACTCTATCTTTGGCTGCGCTACTGATTGGAAAAGTAGGTTGACCAAACAGAATTTGGTATTAATCACCACTGTTTGACAGGTTAATTATTTTTAATTTACCAGCAGTGATTGGTTTCATTCATCGCAAAAAAACACATAGTTATTATGTCATAATTCAATTGTCGTACCCAACAATTCAAACTTTACAACATGTTCACCTTAATGAATCACAAATATCTATAAATCAATCTGGTTAATGTTGCAGAAAATGCGAAGGAGGTAGAGCAGCGGGTGTCGATTGTTATCACCGGTGATATTTAACATGTAATTGAGGGCTGGTAGCTCACACCTTGAGGGGGCACGAGTGGCAAAAATAAAACTGCATTGCTCATAAATAGCACACGCCATTTCACCATTTATATTTTTTTGCAGAGATCGAACTAAAAAGTAAATTGTCATTTTTGATCGTGTTTAGTAAAATTTTAGAGACGAAGTTTTCCAAAATTTGCTTAAACGCTCGAAAAAGGCACAAATGACTTTGTTTTATTTTGAGCGAAATCTTTGCAAAAATCCTGAGATTTCAATACAAAAACGCGTTTAAAGTATCTTCAATCAAATTTAGTGTTTTCTTGGATTATTTTTGACTTAATTTTGTTCAAGAAGCAATTAAAATGTGTGAAATATACAAAACAATATCAATTTTCATTTATTTTTGTGATTTTTAAGCTTGTTTGGACAAGATTTTGAAAAATACAGAGTCTATAGTGTAAAAACAAACTAATCACTTTCGATTTAATTTGTTATTTTTTAGCCCATTTGTATGAATTTTTTTTGCAGAAGTCGAACTAATGGCTTCGAAGGCCCGGCCAAACCCCCCTCTTTGGTCTCTACAATGATGCCGTCACGTTCCACGCCAAACTTGCAGTCGAAGACCCACCCGACCATCTACTCCTACCTCCAATCCAGTTTCAAGGGTTCATCCCGCGATGACGATTCCCCGCCCCCTGCGCCCCCCGTGCGAGATTCATCAAGTCTCAAATCCATCAAATACGGTCCTGGTCACGAAAAGTTCCCCTCTTGGCCAGTACCGGCTGCTGCTGAGACCCCACAAGCTCTTCGGGGGCCCCCAAGCGGTGGTTCGCACCGGTCCAAGTCATGGACCGACCATACCAACTACCCCAAGGAGAAGGTCGTAGCCTACACGCGGCCCTACATGAAAAGACAGTCTGCATACACGCAGCAAGTAAGTTTAATATACAGCAGTGGCGGCTCGTAGTCTTTTATTAAGAGCAGGCAGATCTCATTTTAAATAAAAAAAATTGAAATATACGTGTATCTACATAGAGTTCCTATATTCTAATATAGAAACTCTATACAGGGTGTTTGAGGATTGCGAGCAAATATTTTAACCACTAATAGGACTCGTCAAAAGAAACAACTTTCGTTATTCCAACTTTTGTCGAAAGCACGTCATTTCTGAGTTAAAATAAATGGAGGCTGAAAACCGGTCCCCGCCTATGTCTTAATACGATGTTTACAATCATTCATAAGAAAAAACTTTGGAACGCAAACAGCGTAAAGACAAAAAAAATATCGCTACATTAGGGTAGATCAGTGTCAATGTTAGTAGGTCAATACTTGCTATTATAAAAAATTGCTCGAAATGTGTTCATTCGTTGGCAATACATACTTCATGTACTCTTCTAGGGAAGCTTGCGTTTGCAGATACAGCCCTTTCGAAGGTACAGTGATGGACAGTGAATTTCGTCCACCCAATTTCCCTGACAGATTAAAAGTGTAAATTAGGCTTTAAGTTTTCCTAACCTTGTTTCTGACTTTTGATTAACGTTTGTCATGTTGATAGAATGCTCCATGCTTCTTGCTACTTTTTACCTTTGTCCTTTGAAATGGTAGTCCCAAAAGTATAGAGATACGTCTTTGAGACCTACGTTCTTGTACCAGAGAGATAATTTTTATTTTATTAAACGCACTTACTGCTGGCATGTTCGAATTTGATTAAATGTGACAATACGTCTTTGAATGTCATGACAATAAAGCACAGACTACAGTGAATTTTTGTGAATTCACAGAAATTGGGTGGACGAAATTCACTGTCCATCATTGTATAACTTTGAGCTGCGTACACTAATTCACTAATTGTTTCATGTGAACCCCCAAAAAAACACACGTATTTAAATCTGGTGACGACTTTGGCATAATCTGGTGGAGCTCCACTTGTAAATACCGCATGTGTCGCCAAGGGCACGTCCTCCACCAGATCGGACAACACATTTTCCAAAAAATCCACATAAATGGCACTAGTTAAACGTTGAGGTAATATGTGGGGTCCAATTTGGTGATTTTCAATGATCGCTGCCCAAACATTTAGTGAAAATCGGTCTTGGAAGTGCGATGTCCGTACACTAGTTAATTTGGCGTTTGAGTAGTTGGCCATAATGACTTGATTGACAATTTGATTTCAAATCGATGTGCACAATTCACCCGAAAGCGCATTAACGACTAACTAAACTGACGCTTGTAATTTTTTGGACAAAAAGTTTCCTTTTTTCTGTATAAAAACTTTCACGGTCCAACATTCAATGCAATTTATTTTCATTGATATTTTTACTTCCAACTAACAAGGACATACACACTAAACGGCTCGTGAAAATCATAGGGGGGAAATTTCACAAAAATAAAATTTGGATACGGAATTTGTTTGGTCTTCAATTTGACTTTTCATAACAAATTCTCTTAGTGGTTAATATATTTGCTCGCAATCCACAAACACCCTGTGTGTACACATATACTTGATGACTAAGAAATGATTCTTTGCTTTGCTGACTATGAAAAGCTAACTTTTAACAGCAACGAAAAATACAACCTTTTTAAAATTCTTCAATTTTTTCATTAAATTTAATAATTTGCAGGGCTGAATCTACATTTGTGGCTACATTTTATTTACCCTGCTACTCATACATATGTTCTTGACTTTAAGTGTGTCTTTATATTGCCCTTGGTATTTTTTTTAAGTTGTCATACTAGAGTTTTAGACCACGCTTCCTCACTATGACTTGAAAATGGCCAAAAAAATATTATTTTTTTTGTGTTTTGCTTCCACTTAACCACTCATATTTAATATACCAGGAATCTACAAAACTATATTAATAATTAATTTTCGTATGACCCTAAGGGAAAGTAAGTTTTTCCACCCTAATTTCAGAAAGCAAAGTGGCCAATTAGCTCCCTCATCTGTTAATATTACAATAAAAACCTAAAACCTTTCAGGGAGGTAGAAATTTTACCTCCCCCATAAAAACTGAAAAACATGCTGCTAGATTTAATGAATAAAGTTAAGTAAATGCTTCTACTTTTAATGAATAAAGTTAAGTAGATGCTTCTACTTGTCATAGTAAATGACAGACGTAATTTAGATTTTATGATGAGGAAGAAAGATACAAAACTATATTCAAAGCTTTTGCTACATTGTTAGTTTTGAAGTTCTTCGTGGTAGATCGAAGGAAAAATTATATCTATGTATTACATTGGACGAAAGTGTCTTTTTCTCCCTGGGTGGTTATTGGCCTCGACAAGTCGTACTTGATTCATTTGACACGTCTCGAGCAGTAACTTCGACCTGTGGGAAGAAAAAATACACTTTCCTTCCTTGTAATACAAATAAATATTATTTAAGTCTTGATGAGGTGCTCCCAATTCTTTTGCATATAATTTATTTAAGTTATTAAAATTATAATTATATAAAAATTGTAATTTGCGATTCAAAAATAGTCAAAATAAATTATTTTATTTTTAACTTCCATTTGCACTGAGGAGGTATTGCCTCCTTTGCCTCCCCTGACGAGCCACCACTGATATACAGTATGTTTAATTTTTACTTTTACAGAAACTTAAAACTGTGATGGAACGTTGTGAGAAAATCCCTCCTGAGACTTACGAATCTCGCTACTACTTGTCACATGTTGATCGTGATGGCAAGCCTTTAGGCGATATGGACTACTTGGTGCCATCCCCTCCTGAGAGGGACCTCCCTGGGAAACCCCAACTCACCCAAGCCGACTTGGAGGAGTACGCGCGGTCGTACCAAGAGCCTTCCTACGACTCCTCCCTCACCAAATCCGGCTTGGAGGAGTTCATGGAGTACACCCGCCATTACGAGGACTCCAAACACCTCCACCAGAAGCAACTCTCCTATGCCCAGTCGGAGGGGTACCACAGCTACGTCTCCAGTACCGACTCGACTTCCACCCCCTTCTTGGACCGGCTGAGGAGGGATAGTGAAGCTGTGGTCACTAGACCCTCCTGGGACGAGGCAGAGGAGCACACGAGGAGGGAAGGGAGGGATAGTGTAGTGACGACCAGTTCTGGTTCGGTCTCGTCTAGTGAAACTCTGAAATGGCACGGGTCGATGAGTGATGTGTCGGTCGCTAGCAGTTCTTATACACATCTTGCCAATTCAAATGCGTCGGTTTCGAGACAATTGATTGCTCATAGTGCGAGAGTGCAAACGCCGCAAAGACATCATTCCGAGAGTGTTCTGTATATGGGGGGCGAGAATCCCGACAGTTGGAAGGACAAGGAGAGTAGGAATAATAACACGAACAAACTCAAATTGTTTCCGGTGAATACTTATACGGTGCAGGAGGCTGATGGCAGCGCCAACAGCAGGTGCGATTTTTTTTATTTTGTAAAGTGATTAAAGATGGGGGTATTATTTGACGTCGGCTGGTTTCCGAGCCGAGCCGAAAAAGTTGCTAGGTTTACAACCATTTTCACCAGATTATTATTATTTAATTTTTTTTAATAAACAGTATTGTAATTTTTGAGGCGGAATTGCAAAACCTCGCGAAAAGAAACGATCGAAAGAGGTACTAATGACATTATTTTCGGCCTCATTTTGTGATTTTTTGGCAAAATAATTACGTTTTTAGCTAAAACACTCGAGAAATGCAATAACAATTTAATTTTTGACATAATTTGTTATTTGTTTTTACAAAAACCTTGAGGTTTTAGTAGAAAACGTACATAAACGCGTTTTCGATCAAATAAAAAATAAAAAGCAGTTAAATTGTTTGAAATAAACAAAATAACAGCAATCTCCATTTATTTTTGTGATTTTTAGTCGTGTTTGGATAAGATTTTGCAAAATAAATAACCTTTGGTTTAAAAACGAACTAAATCCATCCTAAAAATAATTTCATTTTTGATTTGATCTTACAATTTTTCAGCTTGTTTTTTCGAAATCTTTTTGGTTTTGTCTCAAAAAGGAAAAGGCAGAAGGCATTTTTGATCAAATTTTTTGAATTTTCGGCTTTTTTAACAAACTTTTGCGAGATAAATGTGTTTATATTTGAAAAAGACAAAAGTAAATTGCCATTTTTGACCGTGCTTAGTAAAATTTCTGAGGCGAAAGAGAAAAACGTCGCGAAAAAAAAACGGAGTTTTCAAAAATTTTCTTAAATTCTCGAAAAAGGCACATATGATATCATTATCTGCCTAATTTTGTGATGTTCCGATCTGAAAAAATTTTGCAAAATAATTGCGTTTCGAGCTAAAACGCTTGGGGTATACAAAAATGATATAATTTACAACAATTTGTTGGTTTTTTGTTTTTTTTTTTGTAACGAAATTCTGAGATTTCAATACAAAAACGTGCTTAAAGCATTTTAAATTATTTTTTTTCTTGGCTTATTTTTAACTTAATATTGTTAAAAAGCAGTTTAAGTGTGTGAAATAAACAAAATAACATTAATTTTCATTTATTTTTGTGATTTTTAGGCTTGTTTGGACAAGATTTTATAAAATACATGAACCTATAGTTTAAAAAAACAAACTAAATCGAGGGAAACAACCCAAAAATAATATTATTTTCGATTTAATTTTGTAATTTTTTAGCCTGTTTGTACGAAATTTTTTGATTTTATCTCAAAAAGGTGTTTAACTGTTTAAACACTCGGAAAAGACAAGAAACGCCATTTTTGGCCAAATTTGTTGAATTTTCGACTTTTTTTAACGAAAATTTTTACAAAATAATTGTTTCTATCGAAAATGGCAAAAGTAAATTGGCATTTGTGATGTCGTTAAGTTAAAGTTTTGTGGGGATAGAAAAAAACTTTACGAGAAAAACGGAGTTTTTAAAAATATGCTTAAACGCTCAGAAAAGGCACAAATGACATCATTTTCGGTCTAATTTTGTGATTTTTCGGTCTGTTTTTATTAAAATTTTGTGAAATAATAGCGTTTTGGGCAAAAATATACATTTAATTTTCGACAAACTTTGTTGATTTTTTTGGTTTGTTTAATAACGAAATTTTTGCAACAAACCTGAAATTTCAACATAAAAACATGGATTTTCTTGTTTATTTTTGACTTCAAAAAACTGTTAAAGTGTGTGAAACAAACAAAATAATATCAATTTTAATTTATTTTTGTGATTTTTGTTAGTTGTGTTTGGACAACAAGATTTTGCAAAATAAATGAACCTTTAGTTTAAAAGCGAACTAAATTGAGCAAAACAACAAAAAATAACATCATTTTCAGTTTAATTTTGTAATTTTTCAGCTTGTTTAAACAAAATTTTTCGATTTTACCTCAAAAAGATGCTTAAACACAATTTTGAGCCGTATTTGTTGACTTATAACTAAAATTTGTAAAATATTGGGTTTCTACCATTTTTATTCTTACACAATCAAAACGTAAACATTTTTTGCTTATTTGTTAGGTTTTGTGTCTTTTCCAACAAATACAAATTAAGAAAACGAAAAACATTAATTTTACCAAATTTTGTAATTATTATTAGTGCTTTTTTTTGTAGGTTAAATCCCGCCTTATCAGTGCAAGACCGGATAACCGAGCTAGAAAAGCAGCAGAAATACTCCTACTTGGACCCCGAGAAGAAGCACAAAGTTCCTGACCCCACCCTCAAAGCCATTCAAAAGAAAGCTCTTTTATCATTTTACGAGCGCCACCAGAATCCCAACAAGAACAACTGGCGTTCAGAGCCTCAACTTCCCTCAATCCCTCAACCTCCTCCACGCGTCAAAGTCCAACTCCCCTCCCGTCGGGCCTCTTCCGCTTCGGACTACTCCTCCGGCAACACCTCGAAACGGAGCAGTTTGGCCTCAACTCAATCCAAAACGACTGAAAACATCAAAACTCTCCCAAAACACCAATACAGCAACTCTTGCGGAAGCCTTTCCACTGATTTACTAGGGCCGATTATCGTCGGGCCTTCGATCTCTGTTGACGATTGGGTGCCAGACAGCCCCCCAGCGAGACCACCAAAGAACCCCCACTTGAGGACCACCTTCCCGGATTTGTTCAACCAGCGAGTACCAAGCCCGGATTTGCCACCCCCGTCGCCGCCGACGGTGCTCGAAGACGAGGTTTTCAATAATGATGATCCGCTCCCTCCACCGCCCCCGGAGTGCCAAATGGCCGGGCCACAAGTGGAAAAAATCAAGCAAACTGTGGGATTACCGAATCAATGTCGGTATAGTAGTGTCCGATCGTCGATAAAAACCAGACCTGCTGGGCATATTATCCAGCAAGTCAGTAGTAGACCATACAATGGAGGGCTTAATCAATACGCGAAAAGGTCAAACACGAAATATCCAGCGACCCAAAAGCTGGTTTTGAATGGAAATGTCGCTGTGAGTCAGAAGGTGGTCAATGGGTCTGACCAATACAGAGCAGAACCCTTGAAACCGATCCAGAAGGAGGTTGACTTGAAGAAGGTGCAAAGGGCGTCGATTGCTGAAGGGTCGCCACCCCCCTTGCAGCCGAGACAAGCAAGGGTCAATCAGAGCATGAGAGGGAGGATTTCACACGCCGTTGTCAATAACTCCCCCAAAGGGAGAGAAAGCCGGTCACAATCACTGTAAGTTTTTAGACAACTTAGTATTCTCGCGTGCATGTTGGGTTGCCGACCTCTAGCACCTATGACTTCGGAACTTTCATAAACACAAGCATTTTTCATTAAATTTTTTGTTTTCTTGGCTTATTTTTGACTTAATTTTGTTCAAAACGCAGTTAGTGTGTGAAATAAACAAAATAACATCAATTTTCATTTATTTTTGTAATTTTTAGGCATGTTTGGACAAGATTTTAAAAAATACATGAACCTGTAGTTTAAAAAAAACGAACTAAATCGAGGAAAACAACCTAAAAATAATATTATTTTCGATTTGTTTTGTAACTTTTTAGTCTTTTTGTACGAAATTTTTTGAATTTCTTTTAGTTTTATCTCAAAAAGGTGTTTAACTGTTTAAACACAAACTACCTATCGAATAACGTCCAGTTGCAACTGCAATTATTCAAAATCTAATTGCATTTAAAACGATGGCAATTACCTTTCTGTTATATTTATAATTAACTCGCGTTCGGTTAAAGATTATTATTTATGCGTCAAGTCATTGGAAATTCACTGCAGTTTAGAAGAGACAAAAGACTTTAATTTGTTAGGCATTGACAATATTAACAATTTAATTTATTTATTTTAATTGTTTGTGGTTTGAAGATTATCAGTGAGTGACAAGTAATAATTATTATGCACGAATGAAAGAATTTGTTGTTTAATTATAAAATAACTCGACATTGCATAATTGTAAATGAAGTTTGTTATCTTAGTAGGGTGTCAGTGCGAGATTTTATACTAAGTGGATAAAAACATGAAGGATAGTTTTGATTGTTTCAAACTTGAAAGTGATAAGACCGGAATTTTTACACACAGTTGTGAAAACATATTCAGGTTATTCAGATACGTATGTAAAATGTTCCGGGGAGTAACTTGGCGTCAATAAAACTGCAAAATTCGTAATAGTTTAGAAGATACACTCAAATTTTCATTTTCGAATTGTTGACTTTATCAGCAATTTTCTCGATAATTATTATCGCAGAACACTGATCTTTTTTGTATTTGATAGAAAATTAAATTTTCTTTCAAACGGTACCAAACATAAGAAGCTATCACCAATAAGTTCGGAGATATCGGCAATAGAATTGACCAAGAATCGACCAAAATCTCGACAAAAATCAAAAAAATTATTAACTTTTAAATTAATTCATGTAACGTTTTTTTACATATCTAGAGGTCTTAAAGACTCAAAAAAGTGCATAAAACGGTTATAGCGTCAAGTTTAAAAAATTACGAAGTTTCTATAATAAGGTGAAGAGTGTGAGGGGGAAGAACCGATTTAATGATCCTGATAGCAAGATGGGATTGGTGATAAGCTGATAAGTCTCATGGTTGATTATGAAAACAAGGAAAGGACGAGTATTAAATTGTGTGTTTATCCCGATTTTGAGGGGCGGTATCAACAAACCTGCGATGGTGTCACATACTGTATTTTTTGTGCAACAATTTCTGAAATTAAAAAAATTACCCGAGTGGTACACTGCGTCAGAACAGAATTTATGATAATATTTTCGAAAAAACGTTACGGAAGACAATTAATAAAAAAATGAGAGACTTAAGAACGATTCACAAAAAGAATAAAAAACACAAAAAACGCAAAAAAGAAAAAACTTAAAAAACAAAAGAGAAAGAATGAAATAATTTATTTTTGTAATAAATGACAGAAAATAAAGAACTGAAAAAAACAAATCAAAACACATTTAACAAATAGAGATTGACAATAAAATCAAAGAAGCCGATTTTTGAAACAAAAATTTTAATTATTTAAATTGATTTTTTCAATTGGCCATGAAAAATTAAAGTTAGACAAGGAACAATTTTGTCATTTTTTTCTCACTGTGCTTTGAAAAACGCAGATTAAAATTTTCAAAAAATTATAAATTGAAATTTGTTTCCCAATTGGCTTTGAAAAATACAATTTTTTTCCCAGATAGTACCCAAAACTTTTTTGCATTGAAAAGTGTTTTCTCAGTTGGCGATAATAAATTACTGTTACCAGCAAATTGACAATATTTGGATAATTTGTACAAATGAACGTAGAAATAGTGATATTAGGGTCAAGAATTTTAACTTTTTCTTATTTTACTAATGTCGGCTAAAGACTGAGATTTATTGTTGTTATATTGGTATTTCATAAATTGTAGAGACAAAAATAGTGACACATGAAATATTAATTTCTCTCTAAAAATTAATTTTATTAAATTATTATTTTTATAGAAGTGAACGGTTTTTTTTAATTTGCAATAGAACTTGTTTATGCTATTTAATAAATTTTCATTAGATAGTACAAACGTCATTTTTTTGACGTAAAGGTCTATTTAAATTGTGTATTATTTTGCAGATTAAATTTCATAGTTACTAATTAAATTAGTATTAATTTGAGATGAAGAAATAACGTAATCACTATTTACCTTTAAACGCACATATTATATATTAAAAATACTTACATATATGTTATAGTTATTTAGCTCTCTGTATAAACAGAGAGACTTTATATATAAAAAAAAACACATGATCAAGAAGCACTTTCTTGATGACTAGAAGTTTCGAGAATAAATTAGCACTGTGAATATTTCTTCTTATTAAGTTAAATTTTATGTCATAATTTACAATAAACATTGTATTAATATTTAATTACATCAATAAATTGCACGAGTTGTTGCGGTATTTTTTTCTTAAATCTTGCAAGTCTATACAAACCGTTTCCGCACGATAAACTGAAATGTATCTAAATTTATCAATTTTTTCATCTTAATAAAACACACAGTATGACTTAGTTCAACAGATTTCCGCAATAAACTTCGCAATTTATTACCACTATTAATTGCTACAATTTTTCGGTGAATTACCGCTTTCCATTCTCTTTTTGAAAAACCATTTCGTTTCCGTTTGAGACAACGAGAGAATTCGATAATTTACGTCCGTGACATCAGTGACCAAATTTTTTCCGCCCAAGCACTCACGCAAATCTATTTTAAACCTTACAGTTGTCCTAACCGTAAATTGGCTATTTTTCGTAAAATTAAAGTTGATAAACTTAACACATGTGATTTCAGTCGCGCTCCACCTGCATTTCCGGTGGAACCGCGGCAATTGTAATAAGCGAGCAGGTTATCGTCCCCGGACGATTCCGGGACTAAAGTCAAGGTTACTTTTCTTTAAGTTTCAAATTCATGTTTGTGTTTCCTCGGATAAATCTCAATTTGCAGGAATTTGAAACGTTTGAAGCAATTACTAACCATTTTTCTGGATTAATCGAAACGTAATTAATTTTGACTGGAAAAATGCGAGAACGGAAATTGTTGACATACCCACTGAGGGAATAATTTAATAAAATTCGATTTGTTTGCAAGGATATTGGCCTCAGTTTTAACGCTAGCGGCGTCTATAATTATCGAAAAGTGTAAAATTTCATACTTTAGCAGTCGTCCGGTCGTGTAATTAAAACATTTAGCTAATTAAATTACGTAATTCAAACATTCACACTCATATCTTAGCTGTCAGAGGATTCAGAAACAGGAAGATAGAGAAAGTCCAACTTGTGGAAAAATGCAGAATAATTACGAAACAATTCGGTCCCGAAACCTAACTGTCTTGAGCAACGACCGTCACATTCTTCTAAATTACGCGAGAAGTAGTTTGACCTTTTTGAACAAATAAATTTTAGACAATTTACTTGTCCTCAAATATGCAAATTTTGAATCTTTCCATTTACATACAATGTGAGCATAAATATGGCAAAATATTCTCCAACCGGCGTTTTTTGGCTTTTTTTCGAAACTGCCTTGACACGTCTGGAAATTTTTGATGCAATAAATTACGAAGGGTTCAAGGCGCGAGATTTGTTTGAAATTCACCGAAAAGTGAGACGTGGTTTGCATCAGACTTTTGAAATGATAATAGCGATAGTTTATGGTCGTTTTATACCATAATGCATCTAATCGTGACACAAATAGAGTAGCGAAAGTTCGCATGGCATCCCATATGGTCGATGGGTCATAAAAAACAGGCATTGTGATGGAAGGGTCCTTGAAACGTATGGCAAGACATGGGTGGATTCCAAATTGGTTAGCACCATTATTGTACAAATTTAATTAATTACTAATGGACCCACCTGGGGGATTTGTTACTCTCGGAATGATATTGCAAAAGCGTTAATTAGGGTTTTGACTGGCCTATTTTGGGCAATGAAAATTATTGGTGCTCGTAGGTTTTTCATTTTGTAAAAAATTAACCAAAGTTTGGAAGTTTAGGGAAAGTCAACAAACTTGATCTCAAATAAGCCCCAATATTTTTAATTTCTGTTTTCACTGTGTGAAAAAGAATATTTGTTTTTATGGTACAAAAAACACATTTTTAATTTTTGTTCTTCTTAATAGACTTGAATTTTTATTATAATAATATGTGTTTAATTAATTTATTTTTTTATTCTCTTGTAGATTCATGTCAGAATTTAGAAAGAAATCACAAAGATGTGTAATTAGAACACACACTAAAAATATGCTTTCCCACGACCATATACCAAAGTTGACGATATCGAACGAATTGCATTATTTTCCTAATACACGTGTGTGTTATGAACATAACGTAAAAGGTTGTGCCCTCGCCGCATCTGGCAAATTGCGCGTGTTTGTTGGCCATGTGCATTGCTTTTGACTTTTATCTTCTTCATCCAAAATTGACGCAAAGTTTTGTAATTAAAACCACCGACTATTTAAACCTAAATCTGCTTAATTAAGAAGTATTTAATATTAATAGACTCCTAATTTAATATCTATCGATCTTAGATCTTTAACAGAAATATTAAATCTTTTTATGCAAAATAATAGTGTTCTTTTGTCGTGGGCCGTGGAAAAAATAGTGTACAAAACCCGCTGGAAAGTCTCTACATGCACTCGTGCATAAGGCTCTCTACTTGTACGTTATTTGTCACTTTCCGTGCTCGTTATGTAGTATACTATAGT